GTCGTTGCTTAAACTTCGATGAGCCGGATTTAAGTTGTCCAGTGGCACCAACAATATCAGAAACAATATAAACAGCACACTCGACATCAGTGTCCAAATATTCCAGAAATTCTGTTACAATACCCTGATTTTGTCACTATAGTACATAGTTTGTAAATGTTGTGCATCTTCATTACTGTAGGGGGCAGTGGGGTAGTCTAGTGGTTAAAGCGTTGGCTCGTCACGCCGAAGACCCGGGTTCGAATCCCCACGTGGGTACAATGAGTGAAGCCCATTCCTGGTGTCCCCGCCGTGATATTGCTGGAATATTGCTAAAAGCGGCGTAAAACCAAACTCAGTCAGTAAGTCAGTCATTACTGTAGCAGTTTCTTGGTATCTTAAACAACGATATACGTGGCACATCCTGAGGAGGATCCGGAATGGTTGCATTATTGAAATGACACGATATTGGCAGATGGTCCGATTCTTTCCTCTGCATTACACCTATGTCACTTATACTGGAAAACAGTTCACTGGATACTATGAGATAATCAACAACGCTGGCTCCTGATGTTGAAATAAAAGTAAAATTACCATATCTCCCTGTTTCCTTCCATTTACAATATGGAGAATGAAAACTTTGCACAATGTTTGCTTATCACACGACATTCTATGCATATCAAAATGGTCTGTGTTGTAGTCGTCATGGAGAGGCAAATAGTCAATATCATCATTTATAATACAGTCTGAATCTTCAGCAGTTCTTGCATTAAAATCTCCGAGAAGTATAAACCTTATCTCATCACCAAAGTCGGACATAATGTGAAGTAGTTTCTTCTCTAGAAGGGAAATCCCATCGTTGTCAGAACCCGTGTGCTCCCTCGCATTTTCCGGATGTATGTAGAAAAACAAACTAAATATCTGTTCGTAATTAGTGCATGAATTCATTTTGAAAACAACCATTTTTGTCCATTGTTCATAGAGTCTCAAGAAGTGTGTAGATATGCAGCGTAGGATACACACACTTATTCCTCCCCATTATCTACCACGATCACCTGCACGTTTAGCATCTAAAATAAAACATTTATGATTTGGAAACACATTTTCTAGTATATTCAACAAAGCAAATTATGTCAAAATAATCACATAGATTTAAATTCTCACAATTGTCTGTTTTGATTGTAGACCGTTTATATTCCATGCTAATACTGATAAATGTTGTTTTGATGTATTGTCACAGTGTTTTGGTAGTGTAGAAGGTGAAGGTCGGGCCCACGGCCAATGTCCTAGCTTGATGTTGTAGGCTGGGTGTCTGGCTGAGTCGATGTCCTGGATGCCCGGGGATGTCCTGTCTCCCAGTTCCGTCTTTGTCCAACCTGCTTCATGTCTCCGATCGTGTCATCATAAGCATATACAACACCCTCAATGATGAGTTTATTATAGCTAAGGAAGGCGACTTTGCCTTCTTGTCGTGCTGTCTCCATCATGCGAAATAGCTGAGATTGAACCCACCGCACTCGCTCTGTGAGGTCCTCGGACACACGATGCTGCTTGTCGCCCTTTAACTTGTGTCGTGCTGAGTTTACAACTCTTTGTTTATCCTTAAAGGCAGCGAACTTAACGATGATGGGACGATTGGAACCTTTTGTGTTAGGTCTATGTGCCTTTAGGAATGGTATCACTGTTATCTCTCCCGTTCTTTACAAAATCCCTGACCTTAGATTCTGTCTCCTCCATGTCTCACCTGTGATTCATGATATTCCGTAGAGTATCAGGTTATTCCTCCGTGAGTAGGCCTCCAAAGAATCTATCTATTTCTCCAGAAACACAACTCCTTCACTCAGATTAGCGTTGTCATTCTTCATCACATCGAGTCTCTAATTCACGGGACACATGGCTTGAGAGTCTAGTCTGTATAGAGGACTGGGAAGGTGTATGGTAACGTTTAGGTGGACCAGGGTTTGTCTCAACGTCCCCAGATAACATCAGTAGCAACGTAACAGGGTACAACATGAAACACCGGGTCACCGCTCGTCTACCACCAGGCAGCATTATAGCGGGGACACGCCATAGCGTTCGCTAGACTGGTTGAGAAAATTGTCCGATTCTCTGTCGCCAAGTATCAATAGACTCTCCCGTGATTAAATATTTATTCCATAGTACCTTCTGTGGCCAATGCAACAGTTCGCTGGTACGCTATAACTTCTCGTTGGCTATAGACAGCAAAAAAATGACCACAGGTGAGACAGGTAAACAACACGTCCTCATAGCTACATCCACACTAGCATGATCACTGGGGATAGAGATCAATAAACACATACTTGTTATAGGAAATCTTGCAAAGGACGCTGCTCTGGCAGAGGCTTCATTCCAAGCCAGGCTGTCAATTAAGTCTCATAGCAGATAATTAATTAGAAACGTAACAGGGAAAGCTCTGAATACCTTCAAAGAGAAATTCTCTCATCAACAAATCAGGTCTGGATGGAAAGAACCTGAAAATTTATTGCCTTGTATCTAACTTGCCCCTTGTGGCCAAGCAATTTAAGAAGGCGCATTTAAAATCTCGGCGAATCGCGTTCGGTTTTAGTCATCCTATAGGCCAACGCACAACACTGATACGCCTCGCGTTTCTGACAAAGAAGTTATCGATTTCGTAAAAACAAACTTTAAGGATAACTTCTTTGTTCGTGTGTGCGACGTTTCGATACTGATATGGTGATGAGGGTTAAATTGGATGTGATCAGATTTGCTATCGGAATTGGTAACAGAAGACTGATTTTCTTTCAATCAGGGTGTTAATGGGTCAGGATGTTTCGAAGGTTGTTAAGGTTGGACGATGAAGAGAAGTTAGTATCTATGCCTGCTTGGTGTTTTAGCAGTCAGCTTGTTTGGTGTTATGGTTCTTTGACTAGCGTATGAATCTGAACAGATATATTATGAGTAGTACAACACAGATACCTCCTGGAGCTAGAACTAATCATAACGCCTGTGTATATTTTTCGCCAACAAATATGTCCACGAAACTCAAGAACAAACACTTTCCACCAAGAAGCACTTTCTGCTGACAAACACCTGCTCACTATCTCAAGGAGAGACTGAAATCTTTGTTCTGAGATCTGTCAGGTTTGTTACCGACGCTCTCTCACTGAAAATCAGACTTGATTAAAACCTACCTTTTAGCACCATGACCTTGGCAGCTAGTGAATGCGTCACATCGTTCCTATCGCTATAATTACATTTTATGCCCTCATATTATTCTGCATCTGTTGTTTACCGTCTCATCTATCTCCTGTAAAATAGGTTCATTTTGTAGTGAGTGAGTGAGTTACAATTTGTAGTCCCATCGGCAATAATTCAGCCATACCGTGACTAAAACAATTCATACAATGAAAAAATATATAAATAAAATATATTAGAAAATATGTCTATGACGGACAGTACGAACAACTAGAATATCACTGTTATAAATGCAAAACTGTCATGTAAATGTAAAACTATTTTACTATGGAGAGACAATACAATATAAAAAGTGGGCTATAGAGAGCCAACAACTAAAGGTAGATACCAGAGATCATGGGGACTTACACTCCCTTTGCTACCTGCTTGGACCCTAGCTGCATTTATACCATACCATACCATACCATACCATACCAGATCATTGGCAATATTGGCAAATTTAACCAAGCATTAGAAGAACAAGATTAAATATACTTTGAATGTTTTGGTACGTATTTCTTTACGTATTTCTTTAAAATATGTAATGGTTTGTAAATGGTGCAATTTACTTTCATGCATGGAATCAAGCGCATTACTAATACTAATCTTCAGTTCTCAAGACAATCAACACACAATAGTGTTGAAGCATATGAGTTTGCAGCCATTAATAAACATTTTTTGCAGATAAAATGGAATCGAAAAGCTTTCATGGAAAGATACGACAAATTCTCACCAAAGGTAAGACAGTACATCGCATCAGTGTACGCTAAAATCTACAAAGTAGTTAATAAATATCAATTACAGTTCACCCTTAAACTATACATTGATTGTGTGCGCTATGTACATATTTTCAAGTTACAAGATTCCCTGACGGAAAAGAAACAGAAGAAATGGATATTTTGTTCAAAGATGAAGATGGAGATGAAACCTATAAAAGCACTTGCAAAACTGAGTGGACGTGTGAGCCAGAACCAGACAAGAAGGTGCTAAATGTTGACACCTCCTCGAATGCGACGGAGCCACTGTACGAACTAAAGGATTCAATTTGGCAAACACATCATGCTAACTTTACAGCAGTTAAAAGTGGGAGTATAGTGTTTGTGTTTGAGCACGAAACTAGAGAAGATGCTATACAGATGATAAAGAGGCATCAGGCAGTAGAACACCTGATATTACACTGCTTGCGTCAAATCGACTCCGAAGTTGAGGACATAACACTTCACATAAAACTACAAGACCTGGAGTCAGTCTGAAAGGAAAGGGGATACAACAGGTACAACATGTTTTTGTCAGTATACGTCATTTGAAACGCACATTTTCTGAGTGATTATCTATCTGACCTTTTAAGACCTTTAGAAATAAACAACTGTTGAATAATTGCTGCTTGTAAGACAAACATGCACGTGATTGTTATAAGGTTTTCTCCCACCTTCTGCCATATTACGGCTTGTTGATTGGCAATATTTGTCTTTTCCTTTGTATGATGGTTATCACCGCATGACGAAAACGCTGTCTGACACGTTGAAGTGTGTATACACATATCTGGGAGTCAGGATTCGTCAGATAGCTTGACATACAATCAAATGTTCACTGGTTCTGGTGGACTTTTCGACTTTGTGGCAGGATATCGTCATAAATAAGAACAGTCAAGCTTTGAAAAAGTCTGAACATTTCTTCATGTTAAATTGTTGCAGAGTACAGTCTACTGAACAGGAAAGCAATTATCAGCGATTCGATGTCAACACAGAAAGATTATCCATCTGCTGATACATCTCAAACATCTTCAGGAGGTAGGTTGATCCAAATATGGCCGCAAGTTAAGAACAATGTGAGTATGTTATCACATATGGTAAAACATACATCCCTTCCTTATCTGATATCAATAACATTAGGTTATACATTTAGTGATGTTGTCATCAATATACAAAATAATAGCATAATAATAGCATAAATAAACTGTATGTGTCCTTTCCCATCATGAAACACATACCACTTATAAGGAAGAGAAACTGAAAGACTGGCCATCTTCTTCAAGATGACAAACATGCCTACAACCAATACCTCATCCACAAAGGTAAGGTCTGGTAAGGGTAACTGTAACCTGAAAGTAATTGTTTATTTATACTCAGATCCAGAAATATCATTTGCAGCTTTTTAAGCATAACTCTCATATTTTTCAAGTAATGTTTCTGAATTTCAAACACTATTGATCACATGGTGACAGGTCAATGAGAGTGGAAAGCTCCAGTAATATCACAGCATGGTATATAGTGACAGGTCAAAGAGTGGAAAACTCCAGTAATATCACAGCATGGTATATGGTGACAGGTCAAAGAGTGGAATGCTCAGTAATATCACAGCATGGTATATGGTGACAGGTCCATCAGAGTGGAAAGCTCCAGTAATATCACAGCATGGTATATAGTGACAGGTCAAAGAGTGGAAAACTCCAGTAATATCACAACTTGGTATATGGTGACAGGTCAATGAGAGTGGAAAGCTCCAGTAACATCAGAGCATGGTATATGGTGACAGGTCAAAGAGTGGAAAGCTCCAGTTATATCACAGCATGGTATATGGTGACAGGTCAGTGTGGGTGGAAAGTTCCAGTAATATCACAGTGTCGTACATGGTGACAGGTCAGTGTGAGTGGAAAGCTGCAGATATATCAAAGGGTGGTATATGGTGACATGTCAGTGTGGGTGGAAAGCTGCAGTTATATCAAGGTGTGGTATATGGTGAGCGGTCAGTGTGTGTGGAAAGCTCCAGTAATATCACAGTGTGGTATATGGTGAGCGGTCAGTGTGGGCGGAAAGCTCCAGTAATATCACAGTGTGGTGTATGGTGACAGGTCATTGCGGGATGAAAGCTCCAGTAATATCACAGTGTGGTATATGGTGAGCGGTCAGTGTTGATGGAAAGCTCCAGTTATATCACAGCATGGTATATGGTGACAGGTCAGTGTGGGTGGAAAGCTCCAGTAATATCACAGTGTCGTACATGGTGACAGGTCAGTGTGGGTGGAAAGCTGCAGTTATATCAAAGGGTGGTATATGGTGACAGGTAAGTGTTGATGGAAAGCTCCAGTAATATCACAGCATGGTATATGGTGACAGGTCAAAGAGTGGAAAGCTCCAGTAATATCACAGCATGGTATATAGTGACAGGTCAAGAGTGGAAAGCTCGGTCATATCACCACGTGGTATGTGGTGACAGGTCAATGAGTGGAAAGCTCCATTAATATCATAGCATGGTGTATGGTGACAGGTCATTGTGGATGGAAAGCTCCAGTAATATCACAGTGTGGTATATGGTGAGCGGTCAGTGTTGATGGAAAGCTCCAGTTATATCACAGCATGGTATATGGTGACAGGTCAGTGTGGGTGGAAAGTTCCAGTAATATCACAGTGTCGTACATGGTGACAGGTCAGTGTGAGTGGAAAGCTGCAGATATATCAAAGGGTGGTATATTTTACATGTAAGTGTGGGTGGAAAGCTGCAGTTATATCAAAGGGTGGTATATGGTGACAGGTAAGTGTTGATGGAAAGCTCCAGTAATATCACAGCATGGTATATGGTGACAGGTCAAAGAGTGGAAAGCTCCAGTAATATCACAGCATGGTATATAGTGACAGGTCAAAGAGTGGAAAGCTCCGGTCATATCACCACGTGGTATGTGGTGACAGGTCAATGAGGTGGAAAGCTCCAGTAATATCACAGCATGGTGTATGGTGACAGGTCAGTGTGGGTGGAAAGCCCAAGTAATATCACAGCGTGGTATATAGTGAGCGGTCAGTGTGGAGTGGAAAGCTGCAGATATATCTGAGGGTGGTATATGGTGACATGTCAGTGTATGTGGAAAGCTGCAGTTATATCAAAGGGTGGTATATGGTGACAGGTCAGTGTTGATGGAAAGCCCAGTAATATCACAGTGTGGTATATGGTGACCGGTCAGTGTTGATGGAAAGCTCCAGTAATATGACAGTGTGGTATATGATGACAGGTCATTGTGGGTGGAAAGCGCCAGTAACATCAGAGTGTGGTATATGGTGAAAGATCAATGAGGGTGGAAAGCTCGAGTAATATCACAGCGTGGTATATGGTGACAGGTCAAAGAGTGGAAAGCTCCAGTAATATCACATCATCGTACATTGTGACAGGTCGGTGTGGATGGAAATCTCCAGTAATATCACAGAGTGGTGTATGGTGGCAGGCAAATGTTTGTGGAAACCTGCAGAAATATCTAAGTGTGGTATATGGTGTCAGGGTAATGTGTGTGGAAAGCTCCAGTAATATCACAGTGTGGTATATGGTGACAGGTCAGTGCTGGTGGAAAGCTCCAGTAATATGACAGCGTGGTATATGATAACAGTTCAATGTAGGTTGAAATCTCCAGTAATATCACAGCTTGGTATATGGTGACAGGTCAGTGTTGTGTGGAAAGCTCCAGTAATATCACAGCAAGGTATATGGTGACTGGTCAATGATAGTTGAAAACCCAGTAATATCACAGCATGGTATATGGCGACAGGTCAAAGAGTGGAATGCTCCAGTAATATCACAGCATGGTATATGGTGACAGGTCAGTGTGGGTGGAAAGCTCCAGTAATGTAACAGCATGGTATATGGTGACAGGTCAGTGAGGGTGGAAAGCTGCAGATATATCTGAGGGTGGTATATGGTGACAGGTCAGTGTGGGTGGAAAGCTCCAGTAATATCACAGTGTGGTATATGGTGACAGGTCAGTGTGGATGGAAAGCTCCAGTAATATCACAGTGTGGTATATGGTGACTGGTCAGTGTGTGTGGAAAGCTCCAGTAATATCACAGTGTGGTATATGGTGACAGGTCATTGTGGATGGAAAGCTCCAGTAATATCACAGTGTGGTATAAGGTGACAGGTCAAAAGAGTGAAAGCTCCAGTAATATCACAGCGTGGTGTATGGTGACAGGTCAGTGTGAGTGGAAAGCTCCAGTAATAGCACTGTGCGGTATATGGTGACAGGTCAGTGGGGGTGGAAAGCTTCAGTAATGTCACAGTGTGGTATATGGTCACAGGTCAGTGTGGGTGGGAAAGCTCCAGTAATATCACAGTGTGGTATATGGTGACAGGTCAGTGTGGGTGGAAAGCTCCAGTAATATCACAGTGTGGTATATGGTGACAGGTCAGTGTGGGTGGAAAGCTCCAGTAATATCACAGTGTGGTATATGGTGACAGGTCAATGTGGATGGTAAGCTCCAGTAATATCACACTGTGGTATATGGTGACAGGTCAATGTGGATGGTAAGCTCCAGTAATATCACAGTGTGGTATATGGTGACAGGTCAATGTGGATGGAAAGCTCCAGTAATATCACAGCGTGGTATGGTGACAGGTCAAAGAGTGAAAGCTCCAGTAATATCACACTGTGGTATATGGTGACAGGTCAGTGTGGATGGAAAGCTCCAGTAATATCACACTGTGGTATATGGTGACAGGTCAGTGTGGGTGGAAAGCTCCAGTAATATCACAGCGTGGTATATGGTGACAGGTCAATGTGGATGGAAAGCACCAGTAATATTCACAGCGTCGTATATGGTGACAGGTCAGTGTGGTGGAAAGCTCCAGTAATATCAGAGTGTGGTATATGGTGACAGGTCAGTGTGGGTGGAAAGCTCCAGTAATATTACAGTGTGGTATATGGTGACAGGTCGGTGTGGATTGAAAGCTCCAGTAATATCACAGCGTCGTATATGTTGACAGGTCAGTGTGAGTGGAAAGCCCTAGTAATATCACAACGTGGTATATGGTGACAGGTCAGTGTGAGTGGAAAGTTCCAGTAATATCACTGTGTGGTACATGGTGAGAGTTCAATGTGGATGGAAAGCTCCAGTAATATCAGTATGGTATATGGTGACAAGTCAGTGTGGGAGGCACAACACAAAATGACTGTATTACCCAAATTTACTAACGTCAGGAAATACTCGTTTCATCCGGCGGCCATATGAACAACGTTTGAAATCTACGTATCATCTGGCCGTCAGATTTACACACGTTTAAAGGGGTGTTAAAATAAACGAACATTCAACTCTGCATTTACATGTATTTCACAGGTGTGTAAATCTGGCCATTGTTTTCATGTGTTTCCTAACATGTGTAACATATGTAAATGCTGTGATTGTAGGACATGCATTTCAATACCCTTGAAATCTCGTATGGCCAGGGTTAGGTTTGTCATATATTTAGTACATGCGTAAATGGTTGGTAATGGGTAAATAGAGTGTTACAAGATTGACACTACTTTAACATGTATTTCAATGGTTCTGTAATATAAGCTGTCACATAGGGTTCGTTAGCGCGTCCGACCACGCCATAATGTACTGAGATAATTAGAAACACATGGTGAAGTGATACTCATGACTGAGCACCACTATTAACGTGTGTGTGTTTCTTGACATACACATGATGTCTGTTTAAAAGGTTCAAATATCGGGTCTATGGGCCAGAGCGATATGTATGTTAGGGAGTGTGTGTGTGCGAGGGAGAGGGTGTGGCATGGCATGGGGTAGGCCTAGGGTTGGGTGGTGGCGGTGGGTCGGTGTTGGGGTACTGGTAAGTCTTTCTGACCAGTAGGTAATATCGTTTATACTTTTTGTAATGGAAATTACATAACAGTTTAAATAACTGACCTTAGGTACACTTCTTATATATGCTATACAAGGAGACACTGCTAATTACAATAAAACACAAACAGATGTGTTCACACAGACATGAACCGGTAGGTCCCTAATTTTAGTGCTTTTAGAGTTATCAGACTAAACATAACTGAACAAATTTCATTATCTATACTTTCATAAAAGATGATTACAATGTATTAATGATTCCCGGTGTAACTTACTGTTGTAAATGTGTGAACATGCACATACTTGGTATGACCTCTTTTGATTCGGAATACAGGTATTATCCCATACGGACGTCATCTTTCTCAAATTTCAGTTACCCAGACGAAATATACTGCTGGAGACCTATTTTGTTTCCATCGGAATCTTTGGGTAGACTATAGAAAATTGTAGTGATTGCAATTAGCTCATAATTTTCATAATAGACCTATTTTGTTTCCATCTCTTGGGTAGACTATAGAAAATTGTAGTGATTGCAATTAGCTCATAACTAAGCAGTTTCGATAATTATTGAAAGCTTACTACCTGACAGCATTTATGTTGCTCATGCGTTTTCTTTTGTGCTTTTTGCTGTCTAATTTGTTATACATTATATAATTATGTTAATCATTTTGGTATCTCAATATCATGGAATATAATGTGTACTTATTAATCTATCAAAGTACCGAAACGTATAATCTGTATGCTTTACTGTTATTGGGTGAAACTGTTAAAAGTACCTTCGTACAGAATTTCCAGGAAATAGAAACTGAAAATTACTAGATAATTGGAAAACTAAATTGGATAAAGATCGCAAACAATCATTATTTATATTCCTCTTTTAAATTATCAGTGTGCAGATCATGTCACTAACATAAAACTGAAGGATATATGGTGACAAAACTGGGTTCAATTTTGAATGTATAATAAATGTACCAATGTATATTCTTTAACAGTACGCAAGGAATGTTAAAGAGCTACGCTGTCAGGTTAAAGCGTTGCCTGTCAGGTCAAAGGCACATTGTAGGCATTATAAGCACTGAAAATATATTATTTTGATAAAAGGCAAAGATCTTAATTTCAATTGAAAAAGAGAGGAAGTAATTTGGAAGATTCACAGACTAACAACATCTATATTGGGGCTACAGGTGCAGGAAGCATCTTCAATTATAAAATCACATTCCACAAACATCAGATAAAGGTTTAAATGACAAGCATATTTATTGGTATCTTGCCAAGCACTGTCCTCTCTCAATGCAGTATAAACAGAGTGCTGTGGTCACTACCTCAGGTGGCCAAATTCAGCCATCCCATTACTTTACAGTATTTTCTTACAGACATATATATGGCAAATTAACTTTTACGGGTATGGAAAGAGTGGGGAAACACGTGCAAAGTATTTTCAGCTGAGATTATCCTTCAAAAACATCATATGTACAACAGTCACTTATAATTATGTACAACCAAAGCATTACAAAAGGCCATATGTCCAGACAGCATAACATCACCTTTGGCTGCAGTTCCAAATAATTTGACACCAAAAGCCTGTCAGTTAACGCAAAGGAAATAACCCTTGTGTTTTAAAATGATGCCTTAATCATAGTCACAATGAAGTGTAGGTTGCCATGCATTTTTCTAGTCTGTCTCACAGTCCCTGAACCACATTATTTTCCCAACTGCCAAGCCCTCTCTGCAGTGCTAAAGCCTTAAATTAAATGCAAGTCGTGATCTCCTCAGGTCCAGGGTCTGTTAACATCTGCAGGAAACCTAACTCACTTTGGGGGTCGGGTTTACAAAGTAAACATATCTAACTGCCATGGCTGGCCAGACTGAATCTCGTGTCTCCCTGGGGCTCCTTTTCATTTTAGATGGGTTTGTTTGTTACTATCAAACTTATATATACTGTATATATTCAGACACTAAGCCTTAGTCTATGTACTTTCCAATATGATGGAAATACTAATATTTACCAAATAAATTCTAAAGGAGCCTTTCTTCAAGCAGTGACTTAACGCCATACATAGCTAGACTTGTTTAGATGTTAGACTTCATATAAGGCATCATTAATATTTCACAAACATGGTACAGGACCCTTAGCCTCATTAGCTTATTGCCTAACCACTTGCGAATTAAGCGTTGGCAGATGTAAATGTTACTGGAGATGTTGGTCCCGCCAGCTGTGGGTGTTTGGTATGGCACTCTATAACCCGAACCCTGCAGTGAGTTTTCCTGGAGACGGAAGGGGAAAAACTATCGTTCTGTGACTGTGATACAGACTGGGACAAGATATGGAAAACCAAACATTTGGACAACAAACCATTGTTTGGGTCTTTTAATTGTAAATATGATTCAAATAGCTTAACCTAGATTTCGATATCCTCCGAATGTACATTTGGTGGAAAATATACATTTATCCCTACACAAGGACGAATGTTTATATGTAATTAAAAATGTAACAGCACTAGTATCCATTTTGTCTTCTACCCGTCAGAACTAGATTAACAACTAGTCTCTGATGTGAACATATTTTACAGAAAAAAATTCACAGTAAAAAAAATATAATATAATGAAAAGGAGCCCTGAGACTTTCTCCTGAAGCTGGAAATCTAGACTTGCCACATTTTGTAGACTTGCGTGGGCTTGGATATATTTGCTTCAGGGTCTGTATGACAGACGACGTCCCAACATACGCTGTCACATGTGTCTCAGGTCACGGAGAATCAGTGGCTAGAGGCCTGTATTGCAATTCTCGTGCGTGTGCCAGGCGCGTAGCAAGCCAATTTTTTCGTGTAAGCCCTATGGGCTGCAAAGCCTTATATCTTAGGTGGTATTGAGGGCTTGGCCCAACTTTCATTTTTATGAGACCTGAAGAGTTATCGTTTGACGTTTGGTGATTTCAATAGCTTCAAAACATTGTGGAAAGACTTTCGTCTGTATCCCCCTAAAAATTTCATTCTAGTCAAATCATATCACCTGAATATATATTCCTCATCTGATAAAGATGAGTTTAACGTGTTTTGTTAATTGTATCTGAACATACTGAAAGACATATTCTACTTTTAAAAATGGCACTCAAAGAAAGTTTTCCTCATCGTTAAAATTTAGGGGGGACACGGACGGAAGTCTTACCACCATGGAAATTGAAATGTGATTTCCTCATATACAAATATGTTTGGACATAGTTTACACATGTCTGCTGCATTGATACAATACCATACATCGAGTATTTGGTGTTTTTGTTCTAAAATAAATGATAAACAAATGAAAAATAAACAACTGCATTTCAGTGATGATTCACATATAATCATGACTGTAACAAAACATCCTCATACATGTCGATGGAAAAACAATCATCACTGAAAGTTATGATATGAAGAATAACCTGTTTACTGTACATGGTAATGCTTTAATCAAAGAATACTGTAGTCAATATGATTCATAGAGGGATTTCCACTTTTTAAATGGAACGTGTTTGTAGGTATTTTTTGGCAAGAATTAGAAGAAAAATTATTTTTTAGCAAAGATCATGTGTAAGCTCGAGCTGTTTTTTATAATGGTAGCTACGCCCCTGTTTGCATGTGTTGTTGACGCGGCATGGACGCCTTGTAACATCACTATTTGATTATGATTCACAAACACATGCCCATGATATGGTCGGAATCGTGCCAAGGATTAGAAGATATTTATCATGAAAACAGGTTTGTATGTAGGTGGCTTGAAACTCGCTTTTACAAAGGCCTATAGGTTCGATCACAATACATTTCGTTTTACAGCTTCTCTTTTCTTAACATGCTCACGTCAAACTGATTTAAATTCTAATCGCAGATTAAAGAATAACACAATAAATAGTATGCCAAATTATCGTTACCATGACAACCCTGTGATATTTCACCTATGTAAGAGAGTAATGCAGATGATACTGCCGGCCGTAAATATTGATATGTTGCTCCATCGCTAACAACAAACCCTGGGTATCTATACAATTATATGTGTGATCAAAGGCCATATGATATATAATATGGTCTCTGGCCGTGTCTATGAAAGGGGATATAATGTGGGGATGAATGACATGTACTTTTATCTTGGCCCGTTTATGATGATGCATACTGCGATCTTTCTCAATAATCCCCTCTGGCTATCAGATTGAGGGGTACGTTTTAAACATAACCGTTCTCCACATACGTCCGTCAGATACATCGCGCACTACCCCTTTTCTCTTTTGATCTTCTTAAACGGCTGTTACAAGTTCGAAGAATCCTGGTCAAAATATATAAAAGTCTTAAGACTATTCCTACAATTCTGTAACTTACACATTGTACCCCTAAATGGGTAGAGCTCCCGTTCGGGGAATATCAGAAGGACAACGATACAGTTATTTCCAATGTTGTAGAAAGCACTCCGCTTACTAAGGGAAAACACTGAGATATTGTATTCATGTCAGATGATATTTTCAGCCCCTGTCAGATCTGAACTTGAACATGCGAGGTCTGCGTCTGTGTCAGAGTAAAGGCCTACAAGATGTTTAGCAACACTGGGGGCGTAATAGCCATAGACCTTCTCCAAACAAGGGAATATATATCTTGTGAGAATGACTTCTCCGACAGGGAAATTTGCAGCAATGCGACATCACAATTACTTACGTGATATTTTCTCACCAATCTGAGTTATGGATCATCAATTTAAACAGGACAATATAGACGAATTTCACAAAAAGCACGGATATCCAACATACCTATGATATACTCGGAGAACGCACCCGCCTGTGTTATCCGGTCATAATCGCTACACGATATAAAACAATTTTTCATTTTTCATGTCTCACAGAATATATAATTTGATAAAGGCATTGTTTGTTATCGTATACTTTTTGCGTTAGTGAAACAAATGTGGACAACTTTTAAAGTTTATGTATGGCGTTATTAAAGCAAAGGCAGAGCAAATGGAGAAATAACATGGTTCAGGCACTGTGAGACTATTAAGGAAGGTCACATGCAGTGCAATAATATTCCCAAGTATGTACTGTCAAAGAACGTTACAGTAGTGATGCGCGAACAAGAACAGACTTAAGAAATCCACGAGTTGGTACGTATGGTGTATTTGGCTGTGATCCAAGAGAGACAAAGTGCTATTCTATTGGGACAGCTAGGGACACTTGCGAGGACAAAGGGGCAACGCATTGCCCTTTGTTCACCACTGAACCTTTAATCCCTCGAAACATGCACCTCACAAGATTTGCCAACACCACGTGCACAGACAAGGTGTAACTGATACTGGTAGCAAGAGCGAGTGCAGCTTAATACGGCGTGCTAGCTTGCGTAATACTGCTTTCTTTGTCAGGCTCTTTTGGTGATAAGAATATTGAGGTCATGTGAACGTTGATTTCAAACGTACTAAATGTGTGAAAATGAAATTACATGAACCAAATATTTCACATGATGGAAACATATGATCATCTTGCTTATGTTCAACTGAGTTTAAATCAGGACTAAGGGCTGGCCACTGCATAATGTTGACATCGTTCTGCTGTAGGATGTCCCGTGTAGCTCTGGCAGTATGGGTCCAGGCGTTATCATGCCGGTGACGTGCAAAGCTTTGCCGATGTAGCGCACCGCTGTGATGCCGCCTCCTCTCCCTAGACCAAGGTTCTGGAACACCACAGGACTCACTCTCTGGTTCAAACCTATTCCACCCCATACCATGATGCTTGAACCTCCTCATGACTCTCTTTCCATAAAACATTGGTCTGAGTAACGCTGGCCACGTCGTCGCCATATTCTTGTTCTGCCATCTGCAGTTGATATGCAGTACCGACTCTCATCTGTGAACAGAACAGTTCTCCATTGCCTGTATTGCCAGTTTTGGTGTTGTAGGGCGAACTGTAGAAGTTCATGCCGATGACGAGGGGTGAGGATAGGTCCACGGTAAGGTCTACGGCAATGGAGGGTTCCCGCTGTTAAGACGTCGGCGTACTGTATCAGGACTGATTGGTCTTCCGTGTGTTCCAGCTGTCTGGTGTGCTGTTTCGGATGCCTGCATGAAGGGATTCTGTAATATGCTGTCGCACAACAAGGCGGTCTTGTCTTCTGGTGACGCTTGGTCTGCCAGTACGGAGGCGATCATTTGTGGTGTTGGTGGTCCTGAAATGTTGCTGCAGCCTGTAGATGGTCCGAATGTTGACCTTGAAGTGATTGGCAACGGCTTGTGCAGTGTGGCCAGCTTCAAGTCTTCTTAGCTCCTGGTTCCTCTGGATGTCGTGAGAAGGGGATCCTGCTGACGACGTTGTAATGTGAATGCAGGTTTAGGGGTGCATTTTATAGGGCTGGTCCTTGTGAACAGCACGTGCAGCATGAGTTGCATGAAAAACATTCAAAACACCGTACCATCTTCGAGATCAGGTTGCGTTTTTGAGACCATTTCCTGGGTACGATTCTGAGTTTGGGAAGGAATGTCTTTGCTCAGGTAAAGTTGGAGATGTTGTCAAAAATACACAATCAAAACATTAAAGGAGTTTACAGTTATCCGTTTCTGCGCAGGAAAATTCCACACTGACGCTTCTTTGCTCCTTAGTATATCTTACTCATAAATGTGTTAAATGTCTCGTATTTGCTGAAGAAAGGAGCAAGTGTCAACCAAGTTTCAAATGTTACAGGTGACCTGCCACTTCATAGAGAAGCAACAGTGTGGGAATCTACAGCGCGTCGTGATGTGTTACTGAAGGCTGGAGCTGATGTTAATGTACAGAATTATACAGGTGACACACAACTTCATATAGCAGCAAGGTGGGGATCTACAAAGTTTTCTGATGTGTTACTGAAGGCTGGAAGTGATGTTAATGTACAGAACAATACAGGTGACACACCACTTCATATAGCAGCAGAGGAAGGGATCTACAGAGTTTTCTGATGTGTTACTGAAGGCTGGAGCTGATGTTAATGTACAGAATACTACAGGTGACACACCACTTCATATAGCAGCATCAGCAGGGTGGGGATCTAGAGAGTTTTTCTGATGTGTTACTGAAGGCTGTAGCTGATGTTAATGTACAGAATAATAAAAGGTGACACACCACTTCAGCAAAGCAGTAGCAGCAGGGTGGGGATCTAAAAGTGTGTTGATGTGTTACTGAAGGCTGGAGCTGATGTTCATGTACAGAATAAGACAGGTGACACACCACTTCATGGAACAGCAAAGTTGGGATTTAGAGAGTTTTCTGATGTGTTACTGAAGGCTGGAGCTGATGTTAATGTACAGAATAATACAGGTGACACACCACTTCATATAGCAGCAGCAGTAGGGTGGGGATCTACAGAGTTTTCTGATGTGTTACTGAAGGCTGGAGCTGATGTTAATGTACAGAATAATACAGGTGACACACCACTTCATATAGCAGCAAGGTGGGGATCTAGAGAGTTTTTCTGATGAGTTACTGAAGGCTGGAGCTGATGTTAATGTACAGAATAATAAAGGTGACACACCACTTCATAAAGCAGCAAGGTGGGGATCTAGAGAGTTTTCTGATGTGTTACTGAAGGCTGGAGCTGATGTTAATGTACAGAATAATACAGGTGACACACCACTGCATAAAGCAGTAGCAGCAGGGTGGGGATCTAGAAAGTGTGTTGATGTGTTACTGAAGGCTGGAGCTGATGTTAATGTACAGAATAAGACAGGTGACACACCACTTCATATAGCAGCAGAAGCAGGGTCGGGATCTAGAAAGTTTTCTGATGTGTTACTGAAGGCTGGAGCTGATGTTAATGTACAGAATAAGACAGGTGACACACCACTTCATGCAGCAGCAGCAGCAGGGTGGGGATCTACAGAGTTTTCTGATGTGTTACTGAAGGCTGGAGCTGATGTTAATGTACAGAATAATACAGGTGACACACCACTTCATATAGCATCAAGGTGGGGATCTACAGAGTTTTTATGTGTTACTGAAGGCTGGAGCTGATGTTAATGTAAAGAATAAGACAGGTGACACACCACTTCATATAGCATCAGCAGGGTGGGGATCTACAGAGTTTTCTGATGTGTTACTGAAGGCTGGAGCTGATGTTAATGTACAGAATAATACAGGTGACACACCACTTCATATAGCATCAAGGTGGGGATCTACAGAGTTTTTATATGTGTTACTGAAGGCTGGAGCTGATGTTAATGTAAAGAATAAGACAGGTGACACACCGCTTCATATAGCAGAAGCATCAGTAGGGTGGGGATCTACAGAGTTTTCTGATGTGTTACTGAAGGCTGGAGCTGATGTCAATGTACAGAATAATACAGGTGACACACCACTTCATAAAGCAGTAGCAGCAGGGTGGGGATCTAGAGATTTTTCTGATGTGTTACTGAAGGCTGGAGCTGATGTTAATGTACAGAATAATAGAGGTGACACACAACTTCATATAGCATCAAGGTTGGGATCTAGAGAGTTTTCTGATGTGTTACTGAAGGCTGGAAGTGATGTTAATGTACAGAACAATACAGGTGACACACCACTTCATGGAGCAAGCAGGACAGGGATCTAGAGAGTGTGTTGATGTGTTACTGAAGGCTGGAGCTGATGTTAATGTACAGAACAATACCGGTGACACACCACTTCATAGAGCAGCAGCAGCAAGACAGGGATCGACAACTTGTGTTGATGTGTTACTGAAGGCTGGAGCGGATGTTCATGTAAAGAATAATACAGGTGACACACCACTTCATGGAGCAGCAAGACAGGGATCTACAGAGTGTGTTGATGTGTTACTGAAGGCTGGAGCTGATGTTAAAGCACTGAATATTACAGGCCAGACATCACTGCACTAGTTGCAAGCCTTATCGATCTAAATTAAAAACATTCATGGATTTCATTGATCAGGGCAGAATATGCCATCAAAGATATGCTACACGTCAGATAAGAACCGAGACAGTATAACAGTGAACTTAAATTCCCTTTGCATCAATGCTCTGATTATGGCTGAAAACAACAAATGTCAAAAATATATGAAAACGTCTTGTGCTGTGACATTATTCCAATCTTACATTTACTAAAAGAATTCGATCTGCATGAACAATGGCGTCGGGATGAGAGCAAAAAATAATACAATGGTGTGTGTGAAGTTATATTCGCATGGTTTGTAATGATCATTGGTTTTTCTAACCCTGTGAGTAGTAAGTGTTTATACGAACTATTTTAGTCTGTTCAGTACAAGATTGAACGTGTAGTAGCTAGACTGACATTATCCAAGTACTTTATTTGTACAGTTGGTACTGGATTAAGACAATGTTGTACAATTAGCGACATACTGTTTCATTCGCTTCTTAATGATCGCGTTGAACTAAACAATTAGAAACTGCAAGATTTCTTCATGCGTGTGAGGGTAGTATTGTCACACTAACTGTACTATTTGTAAATGAAATATACTGAGTCAAATAAGAAACTTCACATTCTTTCTACAGGGCACTATAAAAGAACAAAAGATGGTAAGATGGTGGAAATTGTTATTATTTCATTGCTGAGATCTGTGCGATGTACTCGATACACTGACAGTGCCATAATCAGTTCCATTAGGCTACACGGCCGTTCCAAAACATGGGTATACAGAATGTCAAGTCACAAGAATAAAAATGCAAACATTTCTCAGTTCAATATCGTGTATGGCCGCCCCGCGCATTCACCACTGCCAAACACCGTCTCCTCATCGACTGCCTGATGCTTGTGAGACACGTGGTTTGGGATTCTGCGCCATTATTGCTCTTGCAAGGCAGCGCCAAGTTCCTACAAATTCTGAGGTTGGTTCCTAAGACCACGAAGCCTTCCTCCCTTCATCCCAAAGGTGCTCTATTGGATTAAGGTCCAGGGGACCTCGATGGCCAGTCCATGACGTTGATTCCAGCGTTTTGAAGGAAATTTTGTGTCAGCATGGCGGTATGCGGCCGAGCATTATCATGCTGGAACTGTAGACCTGGGCCATGAGCCGCCATGAAAGGAATGAGTTCATGGGTGAGCACCTGGTCGCGGTAAGCAGCAGCTGTGAGGTTTCCACGGATGACCAGAAGTCCGGGAACAGTTGTTCCCCAGAAAGCACCCACACCATGCACCTTCCGCCCGCA